ATATTTGCCTCCCTCTCTCTCCTGACAGTTGTACCCTCTTCTTCCCATATTTGCCCCCTCTCTCCCCCATATCTCTCCTATGTACCCTCATTTTCCCATATCTGCCCTCTCTCTCCCCCCACATCTCTCCTATGTACCCTCTTCTTCCCATAGCTGCCCCTCTCTCTTTCCCACATCTCACCTATGTACCCTCTTCTTCCCATAGCTGCCCCCTCTCTCTCCCCCACATCTCTCCTATGTACCCTCTTCTTCCCATATCTGCCCCCTCTCTCTCCCCCACATCTCTCCTATGTACCCTCTTCTTCCCATAGCTGCCCCCTCTCTCTCTCCCACATCTCTCCTATGTACCCTCTTCTTCCCATAGCTGCCCCCTCTCTCTCCCCCACATCTCTCCTATGTACCCTCTTCTTCCCATAGCTGCCCCCTCTCTCTCCCCCACATCTCTCCTATGTACCCTCTTCTTCCCATAGCTGCCCCCTCTCTCTCCCCCACATCTCTCCTATGTACCCTCTTCTTCCCATATCTGCCCCCTCTCTCTCCCCCACATCTCTCCTATGTACCCTCTTCTTCCCATAGCTGCCCCCTCTCTCTCCCCCACATCTCTCCTATGTACCCTCTTCTTCCCATATCTGGCCCCTCTCTCTCCAACTTCTGTCCTTTGTACCCTCTCCTTCCCATATCTGCCCCCTCTCTCTCCAACTTCTGTCCATTGTACCCTCTTCTTCCCATATCTGCCCCCTCTCTCTCCAACTTCTGTCCTTTGTACCCTCTCCTTCCCATATCTGCCCTCTCTCTCTCCAACTTCTGTCCATTGTACCCTCTCCTTCCCATATCTGCCCCCTCTCTCTCCAACTTCTGTCCATTGTACCCTCTTCTTCCCATATCTGCCCTCTCTCTCTCCCACTTCTCTCCTTTGTACCCTCTCCTTCCCATATCTGCCCCCTCTCTCTCTCTCTTTCCCACTTCTCTCCTTTGTACCCTCTTATTCCCATATCTTCCCCCTCCCTCTCTCACTTCTCTCCTCCCCATCTCTGCCCCCTCTCTCTCCCACTTCTCTCCTTTGTACCCTCTTCTTCCCATAGCTGCCCCCTCTCTCTCCCCCACATCTCTCCTATGTACCCTCTTCTTCCCATA